CTATCTCGGTGGTCGCAGGTTTCCTGTGGTTTCGATGGCGGAGAGGGCGAGATCTCCGTCAATTTAAGTTGCTCGCCTCGCCGTTTCCCGACCAGAGGATGTCCAAGCCAAGGATGTCCGACCACTTGGGAGGTTCAGACCTCTGGAGACCAAGTAGGAACCCCACCACAATACGAAGCGCGATACTCTCAATTGGTGAGAACAGTTCAGAACCAGCTGGGGGGTCGGCACCGCAGGATATAGGATCGCAGCTGGACGCTGCTCGGGAGCGGATACGCGACCTGGAGGCTCAAGTGCGTTTGGAATCTCCTTTCGGCCATTCGGACGGGCCGCCTCCTCGGTATCTATCATCTGAGGGTTTGCAGGCATGAGCCAACTCTGCGATGTAATTTGAATCGTAGCGCGGACAATTCATCGTACATCTATTAAATCTTCCGTAACCACCATGTCCGACGGTTCCATTGCTGCGCTCTTTGACCGCAGCATCTTTAGGGACAAGGTCGGGAAGGTAAATGCCCTGAGTAGCAGCAAGCCGAGCGAATTGTGGGATCGTCAAACTCGGCGATGGAACCGTTGTCCAAGACCAGAATCTGCCAGCATCGGCGTTTAAACAATTCGCTTGCCGGCGCTTGTATACCTTGTGGTAGTTGACAATAGTCGCTGGTGAATAGATATCGTTAGAAATGTACGAAATGTGAGTTCGACAACGCACATATACGATGAGCTATGGCCAGGACAGTCAAGTCTTTCATCTGAGTATCGGCGACATGCCGAATCTTTTCGTCCGATATGTGGTCCATGCTGATGTTCGAAAGGCAGGTCAGTGAGTGTATGGTATGGAATCCGATACTTGCCTTGAGGTAGACTCGTCGAGTACAATGATCTTCCTCTTTCTGAGGAGGGCTCTCACCAGACAGAGCAGCTGCCGCTGCCCCTTCGAGAAGCTTTCTTCGTCTACAACTTGAACAAGATGATCAAGCTTGCCCTCCTATACGCCGGCTTGTGAGTCACCATGAGAGGAAGATGAAGTACGAACCAGAGCAGACACCGCGTCATGCATCTCGACGAGTTTGAGGGTTTCCCAGATCTCAGAATCGGTACGCTCGTTTATGACGTCCAGGTTCTCGCGGATCGATCTATGCCACAGGAATGGATCCTGGGTGACGATACTAACGACAAAAGTCAATTTAGACGACGGCGACTCGATAAGATGACCAACACACCTCATTGATTCGCGTACATGGTGCATTGGGATGGTCGTGTCGACACCATCGATGAGAATCTTACCAGTGATGAGGTGTTGGTCAATGCCTCGGAATAGGGCCAGGACGGTCGATGATTTTCCAGAGCCAGTACTACAAGCAATCAGCAAAGGCTCCACTCGAATTCGAATATCATTGTTACCGGCCGCAGATACCAATTTTGAGTCCACCTTGAAGATCGAAAGTCAGATATTTCAGCGCGGCAGGGAGGTCTTCGCTGAGGAATGACGGTGTGAGACATTGTGTGATGAGAACGGGTCAAATGAACCAACCGATATTTCATAAAGAAGGCTGAGAAGGCCAGGCTTCCCGTCGATGGCCAAGCCGAGTAGTCAGCCTTCTCCTCCTCCTTGGTAAGTTGGGAAACTCCGCGATCCTGTCAATGGTAACACCGCCATTCTCCACAGATGCATATGAACTCAGGACATGAGTTGACGAATTCCCGAGTGTAACTGATCTGCGAAGTGGTGCAGAAACCTTATGATTTATCTCTGAGGGAGACAGTGAGCACCGCGACGCTGCACGCTAGGATCGTCTGGAACCAAAGCAAGAACACCCGAAAGAGAAGCTGTCCGCCCACGCAGTGACGCCACTGGGTCTTGCTCAATTCCTTTGAGGAATTCTGCATTAGTGAGGTCTTTTGTTAGCAGTGGATCGAACGTACTCAAACTTAAAGTGATATCTGGGAGGTAATGGTATCATTAATTGCATTTCCTCTTTCGGAAAAATACTCGGGCATCCACGGCCTAGCGCGTGGTTGGCTGATTAAATCCTGGCAGATATGTGGGTACCCAAATTGCGGGTGCCAGTGCGCTGCCAAATGTACTGTATATTGCGATTGTAATCACAGATGCCATGTTCGCCGAGGTACCGGCCTTGAGACCTTGAGGGATTCGCGGGTTTCTCATTATTAGAATTGTTCGTGCGTGTGGAGTCAGTTTGCCACTGTCGTGAGTAGTGTTGGGAAAGTTCGGTTCAACCTTTCGGTTCGAACTCGAACTGAACCGAACTGAACACAAAGTTCAGGTTCAGGTTCAGCCAAATGCCCGAACCTGAACCTGAAGTTCGGTTCAGAGTTCGCTCGGGGAGAGATTTTGCCGAACGGGTTCGAACGGGTTTGAACCGCCGAACCTGATGCCGAGATCAAGCCGATTTTTGTACAATCCAAATGACCCAATCAACGTGTCTCTTTCACGCATACCGAACACGTCAGCAGCTAAACGCGAATAATTGCGCCCAAGTAACCGTCTATCAATTTCAGAGAGGTCCTCATTTGCTGTCATTGTCTTCAAAATCACGATCTCGGTTGCCCCTCATCTAACTCGCGCTTGACTTGCATTTTTCGATGATTTTCGTCGTGATCGTCAAACTCAAGCTGGACAATAAGAACACTAGGACTGCCTGACCTCCACCTTTTGAAGTCAAGTAAATGCAATGGCATTTTACTTGACTTCAAAAGGCTGCTTGAGACTCGAGAGCGGCAAGTTACCCTCGACTTCTATTTGCCATGTTAGAATCTGCCCTCGGGTGTGCTAAAAAATCCGATGACTCTCTTGGCAATGCCGCCGACATCATCTGGTACAAAGACCGCGACGACAAGCAACCCATCTCTAAACCTACTGCTTCATCCTCGATGAACCTGAGGAAATCCACACTTTTTCCACTGGATCTGCTAAGTGCATAAATGGCCATATTAGTGCCAGTGAGGACTCTGCCAAGCACATGATTGCGGAGCTTGATGCAGAGCACTATGGATTTGCTGACGTGATAGATGTGGACGAAGAATATTACATGTAGTAGTGCTATAATTTGAACCACTGAATTCAATGAACTCTCGCTATGTTTTTGATCCTGTGTGCGTTCGAAGCTTATACATCAAATTAAGTTCCTTTCTGGATGGTAGGACCACCATGACCTCCTCAGTGTAGCAGTTTTTCGGCCGCAAAAAATAGGTTCAGTTCGGGGGTTCGAACCCCTCCGGACGCTGAACCGAACCGTCTGAACCTGAACCGGCAGTTCAGGTTCGGGGTACAGCGAATTGCTGAACCTGAACCGAACCGAACTTTCCCATCACTAGGACTCGTGAGCTGTACTTAGATCCTCTGAGTCTAAAGTTCCGTTTGAATTCCAAGTTGCCGCTGGCCAAAGCCAAGCCAAGGACGCTTGCAGATGGGACAAACCTCTTGCATTGTCGTCGGAAGGAAAGAGAAAATGACCAGATCAATCACCCTGAACAAAGGAGCGAGTTTGTTTATGCGCGTTTAATTCTGTGCCCATTGTCGTCTATGTCTCGGTGGTGCCATTGACGACCACCGCAAATCCACCTTGTACTCCTACCACGACCACCACAATGCTCATAACCGCCGCCCCCGAGGCGCGCACCGTGGACATCCCCCCGACAGCCACGTCGGGCGTCCCCGCATCCCACATCAGCCACTCCGCCCGGTGCGTTTCTGGCTTTTTCCCCCGCATTTTTGCGTGTTTTCCTCGTCCCAGACTGACCATTTCCGCAGACCATCACCCTCGCACCAACTCAAATCCGAACGGTGCGTCGCCGCTCTACGTTCCTGCATTGAAGACCGGGTTGCTAACGTAATTTATCGACAGACAGAAGAAAGCCCCAGTCGGGTTGATCGTCGGCGTCGCCATCGCCATCCTCGCGGGTGTTATCGGCCTCTTCCTCGTCCGCTGGCTCTTCGTTCGCCGTGCACGAAGGCGGGCCGCCTTCGCCGGGCAGGGACGCACACTGGGTGGGCCCGCCGCTCCCCGATCGTCCACCGGCAAGCAACCTCCAGTATCACAACCGCAAGCGTACCCCGCGCCACCCCAGGCGTACACAATGCCCGCACCGCAGCTCCCCCCCGCCTCCGAGCGCGACGCCGTCGAGCTCGGCGCCTACCCACCGCCCACCCAATCCCCGGCCCCACCACAACTGCCGCCGACGCACACTTCTACCGGGTCCTGGTCGACCCCCTTCGCTGGCGCAGGCTCCAACACGGCGGAACCCGGCGCGGGCTCCTCATCCGCTGCGCGCCAGGCGTATTTGGCGGCGGAGCTGCGTGCGGCGCAGACGCAATTGGAGCGGGGCGGGAAGGGCGCAGATACGAAGGCGATCAAGGCGCGGATACGCGCGCTGGAGGAGCGGCAGCAGAGTGCGTGGGCGCTGGGCTTGGAGTAGGCTTTGCTTCCTTCCATCCAGATTCCACTCTGCTCTCCCTCCTGGATGGCGCGGAGGACGATTTATTACGCATTTATTCTGGGAGGGGAACGACGATTTGTTGTGTGTACATCCATCCATCCTATTACTATTCTCCCTGCCCGAAGATAACTGCTTCCTGCACCGCACTACCCTACCCTACATACCCCCACCGTGGATTCATGGAATGAAATGTATTGCATTTGCATCTATCTTCCTTTTCCCTTGCTTCCTTGCTTCAACTCTGAACTCTCTTCCTATTCTTTCTGCTCAACCCGCAAATATCTCTTTCGAACTTGCCGCACTCTACAACGACGAAAGCCAAGGGCTGAGCGGTTGCAGGTATGCAGTTATCCGGCCTCAGCACTCAATAAAGCACCTCGGACGAGGTGTAGTGCGACACGGCCTTTCGAGTGTAGGTGCAACCCCGGGTTCGATTCCCAGCGCCCGAATTCACCCTCCGCACGCCTTTTTTGTGAGTATTCCTCTTCACGCATTATCTTCCATTGGTTTATCGACACTTTGAGAACCATATAGATACATCGGACGTGGTGTAGTGCAACACGGTCTCTCTTCCTACAGGCTGGTACCAGTATGTGAGTATAATGAAGCAAATCCGGGTTCGACTCCCGGCGTCCGAATTGTCGGATTTAAATCTTTCTTTTCTTCCTCTCTTTACACTTTCCCCCCCTGCTATGGTTCATTTTTTCCCGAGCCGTGGCATTGGAACCCATTGTCCCCCCAAAAAATTTTCAAACGGCCGCCTCGGAAATGTATGGGTCTTTCCTTGTATCGATTTTTCATCTCGTTCAGCGCTTTGAACTACACAGTCACCTCGGACGTGGTGTAGTGCAACACCGCCTTTCTCTCTAAAATCGAAATCGGCATGTATAAGGAGGCAACCCCGGGTTCGACTTCCGGCGGCTGAATTGCGGCTTCGTAGTGTGCTTTTTTGTGAAATCGTTCGTGAGGCCATGTCGCGGCGTCGGTGCAAGTGAGTCTTCCTTTTCACCTCTGCATTATCTTCCGTGTCGTTTATTGATGCTCTGCAACAAGCAGATACATCGGATGTGGTGCAACACGGCCTCTCTTCCTAGCTACTCGGGTGCGGGTAGAAGAAGGTAATCCCGGGCGACTCCGGCGTCTGAATGAACGGATCGCATCCCGCTTTTTTGTTCGCGTCCGTCGTTCTTCTCTGGTTCATATTCTATTCCTGGAAGTTTGGGGCTGAAACTCGTCATCTCAAAGCGCCCACAATACTATATCGGCACGAGTGAGTCTTATGTGAATTCTTGGAGAACTCAACGTTAACTTCAATTTCCAACTTCAACTTGATTCTTGAACTGTGCGTTGACATGTGCTGGGATCCGACAATATTTACGCCGATTGCAACGGAACACTGATGCCCTGCCCAGATGGACTCCGATGCCGTTGGGCCTCCGTCATTTTACCAGCTGGATTGCCACTCGAAATTTATTTCTAAGTTACAGCGATTTTTTCGCGGCAACTCGCACCGTGACTTAGAGCGGTTTGGATCGACGAGTCAGGCAATCCAAAAGTTCACTCTCATGCTCCATATCCGACACCCGGACCCTATAGAAGGAAGGGCACGTTTTGTTAATCCTGGGAGACGAGGTGACCGTCCAGCACTCAACGCCGTCGCCGGAACCATCTGAGTCAGTCTATTTTTGTCTTACCACCTTCATGTCCAGCTGGGCCCCGACACCGTTGGTCCGACCAGGGTTCCGTCCTTGCAACGACTGCCACTGGACACTCCTTTCTACATTGATCTTTTCACGGCGACTCGGCAACGACTCGGGCAATCCGCAAGCTCTTTCCGATGCTCTATGTCCAAGGACGCGGACCGTATAGAAGGAAGGGCACGTTTTCCTCATCCTATCAGGCAGGATGAACGCTCAGCCGCGTCGCCCTCATGATGCACAAATAGCCACAGTACTGGGCTCAAATTCCCACTTGCCAACTCTCCGAATCCCAAAGACTGCTTGGTTTGCTCCACTGGCGCCTATTTCAAGTATCACTGGCCTCACCCTCGAGGCGTGTTGGAAGTTGAGCTATTCCTGTGCCCCACAGGTAGAATATCATTTCGCCGGATTTTATATCTAGATCTGCTCACGCGTCCGTCGGTTATGTGCCCTCGAGAGTGGCTGACCCCGCGACACCTCGCGCTGGACAGCGTTTGGTCCAGTCCGTCACTATGGACGTATCGGTCGCCGCGGTTCTCACGGGACGCTGCGCATAAATTCATTTGAACCACTCCGCTCCGCTTTCCCTCCGCATTTGAGCGCTCACAGTACCAATGACATGTTCGATAAGGGACTTCAGAAGACATCCGTACATCATGCGAGGATTTGGGATGGTCATGCTACGGCTTTCACAAGTGTGGTAGTGCAACGCAAGGAGGGCCTGTGCGTGTTCGTTCTGGTATTCCCACACCAAAAGCGCTAAATATGCCCCTCTTGATCACCTCGTTTTCATTCTCCACGGCGCATTTATTGTTCTCGAGACACAAACTCGAAGTCGCCTATAACGAAGGAAAATGCTCAAGATCAAATATCCGGTTCGTAGAATTTTGCCTTCCCTGCCTTTATTCACTCGGAGTAGAAATTCAAGTTGATGCCGTCCGCAAAAGCAGAGGGCGGCGGGGACATTTCTTCGTCCGCCTCGAAGTCAACGATAATATGCAGGACACTGTGGTTATCAAGGCGGAATCCGATGTGGTATCATGGGACGAAGTATTCCATTTGTGGGTCAATTTTCAGCTGCACGGTTGTACCTTTCACCGACAACAGCTCCGCTCTAAGCGACGTGCCACACAGATCTCATCTAAAATTCACGCTTCGTGCGACTCACCACATCAGAAGCGAAACTATCATCGGCGGGGGAGAAGTGGCGCTGAATGCTGGTTTCTGTGCGTTACTGAAGATCCTAGATGACGCTCACCTAATTGAAATGCCTCTAGTATTCAAAGACTTCCTCCGCAACCAAACTGGTACGGTAGAAACTCATATCCGCTTCAAGGTGGAGGAACTGCCACCAGACTCTCCTTGTGCTGTGGCCCGACAAACTGCAGCCGGTCATGGCATCTTCACTGGTCTTCGACTGACCACGAATGCTGCCGTTTGGCCCGGTTATCTCCCGAACGTCGAACCTCAACCAGGAATTGTCGGTCACCGGAATCTGCATAATTTCATCCTCCCCGCCGTAGCCCTCATCACTACCAATTCGATCCCAGAGGCTTTCGGTTTCTTGGTCGACCACTTCAGCCGCTTCGCCGAACTTGTTAGCCACATTTCTGAAGTAAGGGATCTGACGGCCACCTTCCTTCCTGACATTTCTTTTTTGAAAATAGATCCATCCGTGTGTAAAAGTCGCATTCAGCGTGCTGATATTTGTTCATAAGGTACTGCGGACTTGTACTTTATTTTTTCGCCTTTCTCATTCTTCGTTCTCAGGCCGTCGCGAATCAAACGGAAAGAGACGACCGACTACAGCAGCTCATCGCAACTCACACGGACATGTTCGTCTTCTTGAATAAGTTACAAGTGGCTGACCTCGAGGGCCACCGCCAAACCATCAAGCTTTTGACTCATCAAACCACCGAATGTGGGTACTTTATGCGAGACTACACCAAACACAAGTTCCGTGAGTGATCCAACCCAGCTCTCTTCCCCCAGCCCTATATCTAAGGAAATCAGTCCTTCGTGCCGCAAAGAACGCGCTTTGTGGCTCGACGATGGACAGTAAATTTACGGAATATGAGAAGACGTACAAAGAGCTCAAGAAGGCTTTTCGCGACAACGCCGCTCTGCACATTGAAATAACCGTACATCGAATTGCCTACGAGCTCCAGCAGATTGGTGAGGCAAACTCAATCTTTACGGTTTCTGGACTACGCTCAACAGTTTCCTATGCAGGAACGACTCAAACGCTCAATGATCTTAGGTATGCCGCCGGGGCAAGATTCGATCGAGGCAAGCAATGTCTGTCGGGCACGCGCCAGGGCATTATCGAGAAGATATTCGATTGGGTTAACGACTCGGACCAGAGCCGTGTTCTAGTCCTGAGCGGTGCGGCTGGGACGGGGAAGTCAGCCATCGCGCACACCATTTCGTTGAGGTTTCACGAGCTCAAGAGGCTGGGATCGTCATTCTTCTTCCTCCCCGGGCACCAGGAGCGGCTTCCCGAGACACTCTTCAGTACTATCGCCCGCGACCTGGCGGATTTGGATCCGAATTGGAAGGACGCATCGATGGAGGTGATTCGTGACAACCACGCGATTTGCAAAACGAGCTCGATCATGGAGCAATTTGAGGAGTTCATTCTCCGACCTGCGACTCGGAAGCGCCTTCAATTTTACCTCGGCCCCGTCGTCATTGTCATCGACGCCTTGGATGCGAGTGGGGATCAGGAAGATCGGGAGTTTGTTCTATCGATGCTCTCTCAACGAACGAAAGAGCTCCCGGACAATTTCAGAATCCTCGTTACGACGCGTCCAGAGCCAGACATTTGCCACACCTTTCATTCGTCCGAAGACGTTCTCTGGTGGGACATGGACGATGTTACCGGGCCGTCGAATCTACCTGACATCACCGCCTTTTTCGCGGACGAGCTGTCAAGGGTCGCCGGGTTGAATTCGAACCACAACGACTGCTGCACATTAACCGCAAAATCCGAAGGAAACTTCGGACAAGCTGCAGCTGCTTGCGCCTACCTTAAGAGGCCACGACAGTCCATGACTCCAGCTCAACGACTGGCTAGGCTTATTGCTAACCCGTGGCCAATGGTATTCGCGGAGCATGCTGGCAGCATGCCTTCCTTTTACGATGAACGTGAGGGTCAAGTCCTCACTCATAGTTTCACAAGGAAGGATACCAGTCATATGGATGGCAGCGTCAACTTTCCGGTCCCCATAATGCATGGAACACTTGATTCCTGGCACTACCAGCACTAGGAATACCCCGACTGGTTTGGGGTTCACAACGACGCACCTGTTTGTCGACCAGTTGTCCATACTAGACTTCGTACTACGAGGGGTTGCGACTTGATGTATGTAGTAGCTAGTCGGATGCAAGTTATCTTCTTTTTTCATATAGTTGAAAGTTCTCACCGTCCAAATTCACTCTCTCTGCACGCAGTTTGACCGTTAACATATTACTTACATACATACACCCCTGCAATTTTGGCCATCCGTGACTAAGGTTACTAGAGCCTTTGTCACTGTTCGTTCCGGCGGCATGGGTGGATCCTGAAACTGTGCAGGCCTGAAGCAAGGTCAGCTGGATGGTAACTAGAATCCTAGGCTCGGGAAATGTCGGAAAGCAGGGGGATCAATTGGGATCACCTCCGCGTTGATCGGACTTACGTTTCCTTCTCGCCAACTCGTGCCATGCCGCATCGCGGCATCCGCTATTCGCCTGGACGGATACTGACAAACCTCTCAAAGTAACTCCATTCCGACTACATGGGCAATCGAGAAGAGATGTTCCATCTCCGTGCAGAATTGATGCTCAATATCCCGGAGACGCGAATCGAGCATCATCATTCTAGAAGTTGGATTTCACTGAAACATCATATGTAGTCCACGCCACAGAACGAACTCGCCCCGCATCTATGCTCGCTG